TTTTTGAATTTTCTTCAAAAATCACAGTTTTTTTTTACTTTTTTATTTGTTCATGTCCCATTTCTTGCCAAATTTCTATTGATTTCCCCATGCATTGCAAATAAATATATTATTATTATTCCTTTTCAACGCCGTTTTTCGGGGATTTCGGATTTTCTTTGAATTTTTTCGCAATAATATTCGGAAAATAGATAAATTTTAACACATTTTAATGCAATAAAAATTTCTGGTCGGAGTCCCCCTTTAAATTTCACATTTTTAGGGCTAAAATATCACTATTCCAAACCAGGAAATCACAGTTTCCAGTCAGTTTCCAGCCTAACAAATCGTATTTTCGAGCTCAAAATTCATATTTTTCACAATTTTAGACGGAAAATTCCATTTTTTTTCAGCTGGAAAATTCGCAAAATTTGAAGAGTCTAGTTCTTTTTTCTCAAATAATGAAGTGGAAAGTTGAGAGTGTGGAATGACGGAAATCGGTTCAATGTGTGTCATCTGTCGTCTCTAAAAAATGGCGAAAAAAAGATAAGAGATGGGCGAGAGAGTGTGTGGAAATGAGAGAGTGGTTAGAGAAAACAAAAAAGAAAAGAAAGACGACGGAGGAATCAAACCACAAAGAACAGTGAAGGAACGACGAGTGAACTTTGGGGGCTAAAATACGAAATATGCTTTATTTTTAGACAAAAAAAAATCTGAAAAATTTTTTTTTGACGGAAAATGTGCTGAAAATTGGAAATTTAGGGATTTTTAAGCTTAAAATCGTCATTTCTGACCTGGAAATCATGAATTTTCAGTTCAAAATAGTCATTTTTTTAGCTGAAAAATCCTCAATTTTCAGCCCAAAATCCTCATTTTTGAGCTAAAAAAATAGGATTTTTCAGCCAAAAAATCGGTTATTTTTAATTTGAAATGCGTCATTTTTGAGCTAAAAAATTGTCAGTTTCCAGCCCAAAATCGTCATTTTGACCAGAAAATTGGGGATTTTTTGGCCGAAATTTCGAATTTTTGAGCTCAAAAATGTGATTTTTTGGCTTAAATCGTCATTTTTGAGCTATAAATCTGGATTTTTTGACCTGAAAATTATACATTTTCATCTCAAAATCGTCATTTTTGAGTTGAAAATTGAGATGTTTTAGATTAAACATTTAAAAAATTTTAGTCTAAAATAGCGTTTTATACATTTCTAGACACCAAAAATCAAATTTTGCGCCTGTTTTTGTTGTGTTTGGGCTCACAGAGCACTTTTTTAAGGGATTAGAGAGCAAGTTTTCAAAAAAAAAATTTTACTGAGAATTTGTATTTTTGCCAATTTTCTAGCTAAAAATCTGTGGAAAATCCGTTTTTTTCTTAAATTTTAAACAGAAATTAACCGAAAAAGTGCGAAAATGACGCAAAATTTGAACTATAAACACCCAAAAAGTGATCTTTGGCGCCGAAACGGGTGAACACACACACATACGTCATCCACGTGACACTCAGGTAAAAATATGTCGAAATTTCTGGAAAAATCAACTGAAAATCATGTGAAAAGCCGAAAAAAAAAGAAACAGTTTTTTTTTCAGAAATTTTGAAAAAATTTTAAAAAATTTTGGGTGAAAAAAACCGGAAATATGGTTTTAAAACGAGATTTTGAGCATTTTTAACCTTATTTTAACCCAAGAAACTCCCGAAATAGGCGAAATTCGATTTATGATGCAAATTTTTAAAATTTCTACTATTTTACCTTTTTTAATGACTTTTACTTGGATTTTAAAACATTTTTGCACAGTTTCTAGATTTTTATGCTTTCTCCCAGTTTTTTACTCTAAAATCCCGATTTTCCACACAGAAAAAGGGCAAAAAAACGACGAAATAGGAAAAAAATCTCAAACGACACTCCGCAATCCCGGGGTTGCGCCCTGTTTAGCGGCGCCGTCGGCGTTATTTCGGAGCATCGTCGTCGATTTTTTCTATTAATTTCCACCTAATTTTTTGGTTTTTATTCGATTTTTCCCGATTTTTCCGGGAATTTTCAAGAAGTTTTTGTACTACAATAAAGCGCAGAAAATTGCGAGTCTGAAAATATACGATTCCCTGTTTTTCTGGACATTTTTCGCTGAAAATCGGGAATTTTTCAAAATGATGTAATCCCAAAATTCCAAATTTCGAATTTTTAGAAATCAAAAATGGGTTGGTTCGGATTCGGTGGCAGCAGCGACACTCCATCATCGTCGGTTGAGGTCTCCTCGCAGCCAGTGGATCTCAGCGCCGGAATGAACTTTTCGGTGCCCGGTTTCGATGCTCCAGCGGTATGTAGGCCTAAAATGGACTGTTTAGAACGATTTTAAGAATTTAAAACAGCTAAAAATCGTTTATTTAACCTTAAAACTCGCTAAAATTCCATATTTTCCAGGCAGCACCATCGTCTCCAGTTCCAGATCACTCTCCATTCCCAGCCGCTCCAGTTCTCGCCCTGGATCAATTGAAATCCGCTGGAGTTGGGGTTTCTAGACAAATGACACCTTATGTACAGATGGATCCGTCGATGTTCGCTTCTCAGCAGCCACAGTACATTATGCCAGAGGGCGGTGTGGCCGGAAAGGGAAAATTCGAGTTCGCGCTGGGACATATCGGGTAGGAACATCGAAAATTGACTGAAAAAGGCTCAAAATTGGCCTAAAATTAGCTGAAAAATGGCCTGAATTTACTCAAAAAACGGCTGGAAAAAAAGCTGCAAATTGGCTTCTAATCTAGGCCATGACCTTAAATAATCTAGAAAGTTCTAGATCATGTCCTAAGTCCAAAAATTGGCCGAAAATATGGGTTTAAAATGGCTGAAAATGGCTGAAAACTACTTAAAAATAGCTTAAAATGGCTGGAAATTCATCAAAAAAATTTCCAGATGGGCAGTCGGCGGAGCATTCGGTGTTGGATGTGCTCGCGGAGCCCTCGGCGAGCTCATGAACCCGGAAACCCGAAAAATGGCCGGAAAACCATGGATGACGCGTATGGTGAACGCCACAATGAAGCACGGCTCCGGATTCGCCCAACCGGCCGGCGCCATCGTTTTTATGTATTCCGCACTGGAAATTGGACTGAGATCTGTGAGAGCCGAGGACGAACTGAATGGTTTTGGAGCCGGAGCACTCACTGGAGCCATTTATCGATCGCCGCATGGGCTGAAAGCATCGGGTATTGGAGCACTGGTTGGGTTGGGAATCGCCACGGCGTGGACGCTCTCGAGCACCGATTCCAGACAACGACTCTCCGAAATGTTCTCGAATAATTGATTTATTCATTTTTGATCTGTTGATTTTCTCCTTTTCCCCTTTTTTTCCGTTGAAATAGCCAATTTTTTGTAGTAGATTCATGAATTTTAAATTTAAATTCAATTTTTACATTTAAAAAGGGCAAAAAATCGAGTAAACAGCCCAGAAAAACACTTAAAAACGAATAAAAAACAAATGGCACCAAGAGGAATCGAACTTTGGTGTTGAGATTGGTAGTCGAGCCTCTGCGCCAGTAGGCCACGCTTGCATTTCATTCGCTGTCGGCAATGGTGTATAGAAAGGGTGGTGGCGCGGCGGCCGCTCGCCTACCTCCAGAGGAATCGAACTTTGGTGTTGAGATTGGTAGTCGAGCCTCTGCGCCAGTAGGCCACGCTTGCATTTCATTCGCTGTCGGCAATGGTGTATAGAAAGGGTGGTGGCGCGGCGGCCGCTCGCCTACCTCCTTGCCCTCTTTGGTATGCGCCCTCCACCCTGCACCACGTGGCCTAGTGGCAAACACACTCGCCTACCAATCTCATCACCCGAGTTCGATTCCTCATGGGGCGAATTCTTTTTTGCTTTTTTTAATGATACGGATCTAGGTTTTTGAATGCGGTTTCAGCAATTTTTAGCTCATTTTTAAAAGTTTTTTCCCAAATTCTCAAAAAATTTTGTTCTCAAAAAACTAGAAAAATCTGCTACAGTAATCATACACTAATTCAGTAGGTGAGAACAGGTTAAAACAATTTTCAAGTGCAAATTCAAATTTTTATTTTAAAAAAGTTCAAAAAATTAGGCTTCCACCTTCTTAACCGTCTCCTGACCTCCTCTCCCCCTTCGACTCCAAAAAATCAGTGGAAAAATCACTGATAAGCTCAAAAAACAGGCTAATAGAGGCATTGTGAATTGATAATGGGTCTCCAGACGTCTCCACCATATCACCATCGATCCAATAGGAATGTCACAATCCAGACCTTCCCAACCTTCGAAACAGTCGCAAGAGAAGCCGCGATGATAGTATTCGTCGTTGATACACTCACCGTTATCACAGATTTTGCTTCCTGAAGGTGTAGAAAACTATAAAAAAGGAAATGGCGGCAAGAGGAATCGAACTTTGGTGTTGAAACTGATAATCGGGAGCGTGCCCCAGTAAGCCACAGCGCCTATTGGTCGCGTGGTGGGCGATGGCGTATAGAAAGGGGAGCGGGGAGAGAGCGCGATGAGAAAAGAGGGAGGTGGCGCGGCGCCTTCCCCCTTGGTTGGGGGGAGGGGGCCGTGGCCTAGTGGCGCACACGCTCGACTGCCAATCTGAACACCAAAGTTCGATTCCTTATAGGACTAATTCTTTTTTGCTTTTCTTAATGACCCAGATTTTGCAAGTGGAAGCAATTTTCAACAACTTTTAGACAATTTCCATTTTTTAAATTACCAAAAACTTGAAAATTTCGAAAATTTTTGTTACAGTAACCCACCAAACGCATCACACGAATCGTCCACAGTCTCACAAAGACTTCCACGAGTGCCATTGACGCATTGACAACTGAAATTTAAATGATATCTAGACACCCAGAAACACAGACTCACTCATAACTCTTGGTTTTCGGATCGGCATGGCACGTGGCACTATTTTGACACAAATTGTGATAGCACGGGTTTGTGTGGATTTTACAGTAGGGTGGAAGGTAACCAGAATCGCAGAGACAACGGAATCCTTGTAGTTTCTCATTATGGTTGCAAAGGGGCATTAGGTCATCGTCGTAAGGGATATCGCTGGAAAAATAAATTCTAAATAATCTCTAAAGTGATGAGAGAGCCATAATATGCATCGTCTAAGAAAGCAAAAACGATTTAGCGCCGATGGGGATCGAACC